AAAATGAAGTCTGACCATCCTAGTTTCTGGCTATACTTCAGCCAAGACTATTTTTTTTGTTCTAGCAATCTAAGATATATTCAAAATATCACTATTTCTTTGTTCAATCTATTTACTGTCTAGATTTCATAAGTGTGTGAGGTTTTTGAAAATACTATGACTTGAGTCAGGTATTTCATGCTCAAACTGATATTTTTTTCCTTTCTAATACTTTAAATCTTAGAAGGAGGAGTGGCATCCACTAAATAACAGCTTGCCTCCGTAAACCCTATGAACCTGAAGAGAGGATGAAAGGCACCCAAGCATCGAGGACTCTCCTTCATAGGGTCGCTATGAGTCACCTGCGATTCGACGGCACTTAACAATAACAACAACAACAACAATACTTTAAATAGTTCTTTTACATCACATTTTCCTAGTGCCATATTTTAATTACCTGGCTGCTGTTTCTATGGGCATTGAGTCTATGATCCATTAAATTGACCCATTTCATTGACAACTTTAATCTTTTCTCCACTTATCATGATGTAATTTGTTGGTCTAATTATGGAGATGTTTGTTTTCTCTAATAGTGTAGGAGGTAGAAGTATGAATTCAAAAGGACAAAAGGCCCAAGCGAAGATTTTCTCTGTCAGCGCTGAGGGAAGGTCTTTGCCCCCTTCAACATCTGCAGATCCTATTTCCTTTAGAAACTTCCCTGGGTCTTAACATGAATCTCTTTTAAAGTCCATAAGATGAGATGGACTTGATGCTAGTGAGGTTTTCTTTTTTATATATTATTTTTGTTGTTGAGGATATATACAGAATATACACCAATTCAATAATTTCTATCTGTAATTCAAGACATTTATTATGTTCTTCACATTGTGCAGCATTGTTCCTTCCCCATTCACACACTAAAAATTGTAGTAGAATGTTGAGAGGCCAAAATAAAAGGAAGAAATGCTTAAGTAAAACAGATGAACAGAAGATTCCAAATGACAGCCTGGGAAGACAAACAAAAACATTAAATGGAGTGTGTCAGGAGTTCAAGTGGAAGAATGAAAAAGGAAGAACTTGCTGAGCATTTTTCAAGCCAAAAGAACTGAAGAACAAATTCAAGCCTCAAGTTGCAATACTGAGAGATTACTATGGGCAAAATTTTGAATGATACAGGAAACATCAAAAGAAGATGAAGGGAATAGACAGATGCCCTATGACAAAAAGAGATGGTTGACACAGTAATATTTCAAGAAGAAGCATATATGTGATTAAGAACCAATGGTAATGAAGGCAGAAGTTAAGGCTCTGGTGGGCACCAGTTTTACTCTGCCTCAGTGCACTGGCAAAATCTCTCATTTTCTACTTGTCTTCTTTCAAATTAAGTCTCCTCAGGTAAAGGAGGGGGCTTAATCTTTCCTAGGCTAAGCCCCATGCTCCCTATCAAATTCTGATACTTACTATAAACATTCCTTCAGGGCAAATTGTCCATTTTAACATATCCAATTAAGCACTAGCTGAATGTAGGCTTACATGCTTTTCCACATCTACAATATTATCTAAATAAAACAACATCTAATATTCTTTAACATTGCTATGCTATGTAGAAGAATATCAATACTGCATAATACTGCAGTGAGAACTATGAAAAGAGGGGATGAATAATGTACACTGCAGTGAAACAAATGAGGGAAAGGCATATAAGATTAGGTATTACATGCATGACAACAGTCCAGAATAAGAGCTGCATAGCAAAGTGAACTGTGGAAGGAGGGGGAGGAAATAGTGCAACAGTGAAAGAATTTTTTTCTTTGTTTTTTTTTTTAACTTTTTTAAAATTTTTTTTGTTTTATTGTTTATGTGAGTGTACCGTCAAATCAGATCTGACTTGTACAGGAGGAGATTGTCCCTCCTTCCTCGGCTGAGCATCTGGTGGATTCAAACCGTGCACCTCTGGGATTGTAGTTGCAGCTCCTTACCACTAGGCCACCAGAGCTCCCCTGAAATAATTTTTTTTCAAAGAAAAAAGCAAACTGAAGCCTAGGGAGGAAAACGTGCAGCTATGAATGAATTGAAGTCCAAGTTCTCTATAAACTTTAATATTGTTTTGGAAGTCTTAGCAACAGCAATAAGACAAGAGAAGGGAATAAAAGGTATCCAAATAGGCAACGAGGAGGTAAAATTATCCCTCTATGCTGATGACAT